GTGGGTTCAACCCACGTAGTCGAGATTGGTTGTGTCAATTTGTCAAATCGCGTTTTCACGTACACACTCTGTGCGCTCTGTTTGTTACCGCATTGAATCCCCTCCCATCTACTCACTCCAACCACCTGTCCCAATGTTCCCTTCTCTCGTTGTGCTACTTAGTGGGTTGCAAGCAACTACGCAATTCATCAGTTCCCCGTCTCTTTCGTAATGTCTAGCCCGCCATGCACACCGCCATCCGTTGAGACAGTGCAGAGTTCTCGGATTGTTCGACCTGAGGGTAGGGATTACCTTCCCGACATGCCGGAACATGCTGTCTTCAAACATTTCAGCCTCATTGTGCGAGAAGAAGGCAAAGCACAGCAGTACGAGTGTAAGTACTGCTTCAATGTTTTCACCGGTGCAGCCATTCGTTGCACACAACACCTGAGCTCGTGGAAGGGAATGAAGCGTCGCGAGGTGACGCTATGCAAGGAGGCACCGCAAGACGTACGCAACAAGATGCGCACCAAATACGAAAAGATGGCTGCCGCGATCGAGGAAAAGCGCCGAGCAACATCTGCTGCAGTTGCGGCTGTCCAGGCTGGCGGAGGGAAGCGGCGCATAACCGACTACTTGGAGGGAGATGCCGCTGCGGCTACGCGGGATGCTCACGAGGGCCTTGCGCTGATGTTTGCGGCCTGCAGAATCCCGGAGGTCACCATGGACCCTGCTGTTCATCAACGCCATGCTGCTCGTCAACCGCGCCGGCCACGGCTACGTCCCCCCAGGAGGACTTTCATTGGCGGGGATGGACTGGTCGCTGTCCGCAAAGGGATAACGACTCCGGCGCCGTCTTCAGGGAGGCGATCGACTGCGGGATGGAGCGGAAGACGGGGGGATACATAGCGGGGATTCTGCAGCCGGTGGTGGAGGAGGTAGGACCAGAAAATGTCGTCGCGTTTTGTATGGATGGGGGGTCGAACTATGCCGTGGCTGTCCAGGAGCTGATTGCCAAGTGGCCCCACATTCAGCAGGTCCCTTGTGCCACGCATGTGATGGATCTCCTCCTGGAGGACGTGGGAAAGATGGGGTGGGCAAAAAGGGTGGTGGATAGGACTGGGGAGATGAGTTCGTTTGTTCGCAACCATCATTGGATGCGCGCTTACCTGAGGACCAAGGAGTTGGTGGAGGGGAAGGTGCGGCAGCCGCTGAAGCCGGCTGGAACACGGTTCGGGACACAGTACATTGCTGTGTCCCGCCTTTGTCAATTGCGTAGCACCCTCAACGCGATGGTGCTTTCCGACAGGTGGCGGACAGGTGGCCTTTGCTGCACGGGTCCTCGATGACGCATGGTGGCGGACGGCAGAAGTCTTCTGCAAGCTGATGCAACTGCCCTACAAGGCGATGCGGCTGACTGACGGAGATGCCAATGGGATGATAGGCCGGCTCTACGATGTAATGCTGCAGCTTACCGAGGATGTCAACAACATCTTGGACGAGGATGAGCAACAGCTGAGTAGCACGGACAAGGAAAAGATCCGCAGCATCATCAAGAACCGCAAGGATAACAACCTCGCCTGCGCCATGCACGTTGCTAGCCGAATCCTCAACCCCGCCAACCAGGAGGAGGATATCTTTGGCAGCGACGCCGAATGCACCCGGGTTTTCAAGGCGTTAATCAACGAGCACGTGGAGTTCCTCATCGGCCACGACGGGAAGGGGAGGGATGAGGGTCCAGATTACTTGCTTGCCTTGGGTCACGGGCTGAGGGCTTTCTTGGACCTGAAAGGCAGTTTTGGGATGCCGGAGGCGCTTGCACAGAGGGAGAAGGTGAAGGCGGGTAAGTACAGCATGGTGAAGTGGTGGCAGTGGAACGGCACAGATGCACCTCACCTGATGCACTTCGCCGTGAGGGTGCTATCTCAGCCTGTATCGGCATCCCCTTGTGAGTGTGGGTGGGGAACTTGTGATGCAGTCCACACAGCCTGCCAGAACCGCCTCGGATCTAAAAAGTGCCAGGACCTGGTTTTTGTTGCGCACAACTGGAATGTTGTGCGCAACTGGCATTCGCGCGCAGATGTAATGCCGAACGTTGTGCCAGGGATTGGGGACGAGCCTCCTATCCCCGAGGGGTACAACGGGTTGGATGAGACGGAGGTGGAGGGGGAGGAAGGCGAGGATGACGTCCTGGAGGACGAGTACGCTTAGAACTAGGGTGGCAGGAGAGTATTAGTGACATGTGTGTGTGTATGGTGTCGTAATCTTATTATGGGGAAAAAAAAAACTGTGCTGCAAAACCCCCAAAATGGCCCACCCCTCCCCCCCCCCCCCAAACATCCCCAAGTGGCTTTTTTTGCCCTGCCCGGGAAAGTTTTTTCCCTGCCCGGAAAAGCGTATTCCAAAGTCGACCCCCAAGCGGATAGCGTGCATACGCTAGCGTATATACGATAAGCGTATATACGCTATAAGCATATATTGCAACTTAGGGGGCAGAGATGTCAGTGACTGTGCCGGATGGGAAGGCTGGACAAGGAACTGTGGAGGACCCATGGCATTGGATGGAGAAGCTAGAATCTGCTCCAAGGAGTGGGGTGGGAGCCTGGTAGGGACCGAATGCGGTTTGGTCTTTGAGCACTGTGTGGGTGGCACCATTGTCTAGTATGAACTCGATCCTCTGCGTGTTTGAAACACCAATGTACTGCGACCCCTTCTCATTAATAACACCAGCACCAGAGAAGAACAGATTGAGGCGAACATCAGATGGGGCGCTAGCAAGTGCCTGAACAGGTTCCTCCACTGCCTCGACCTGGTTCACGCGACGAGGTCAGGCCCAGTTGGGAGGACGCTTGTTGGTGGAGACACCGTGGACGTCGTACCACTCGTCATCTCGCTTCTTGAAGCAAGTTGCCTTTGGGTGGTTGGTGCCTCCACATTCTGCCCTGCACGTGGACCCTTCCTAATGATGTAGGTGCATGGGGGAAACGAGTTGCGCCTCGGTCCCTGCTGGGAGCGGAATGGGATTCTAGGAGTGTAGCGCACCGCATTGACGGATGCTTGTGCCGCAAGGTCCTTTTCAACAGAGAGAAAGGCCGATGCGACTTTCTCGAAAGTGAGTTCCTTGGTGGGGAGCTGCTTGAGCATAGAACTGGTAATATTGTAGGCCGGAGTGAGTCCTACAAGTAGCCCAGCTGCAGGTGCCTGTTCAGAGAAGGTGATCCCAATGTCTTGGAGTTCGTCATGGATGTTACGGATTTCAGAAATGTAGTCCGCCATGCCCGAACATTCCTTGAGGCGGACCTGGAACATGCGGGGGATGAGGATGGCAACGCCTACGCAGTCTTGTCATGGAAACGATCCTGGAGGTACATCCAAATGTCATGCGCGGAGCGGAAAATGCGGTAGGATTTGACCCTGAGTTCAACCAGAGTGGTGGTGTTTAAATCCCTGATAACTGCCGCATCCGCCTGCTCACACTGAAGTCGGTCTCATACTTGGTAGTGTTAGCTTGAAATGCGGTCTTGTCTGCGGCAGTTGCTCTTTCGCCGATAGGATCGGGAGGGGGAGGCATCTTCCCCTTGCCGCGGTTGAGGTGGATGTCCTTGAGGCAAATCCCCTTTAACTCCGTGCTAAGGAGGTGCTTCTCCAGTCTATAGCACCATTCCCCGAAGTTGGTGCTCGTGCCGTTCGGAGCGAGATTGAGAACGATGAGATTTTCGACGAGGGTGGAGGTTGAAGTCACCATTTCGCGCGGAGCGCAGCGCTAAAGTCTCAGATACGTAGCGGAGCGAAGCGGAGAATTCTTTAAATGAAGGAAGTCCGAACGCAGTTTCGGTAACACAAAAGCCCTGATTCTGGTCTGCTGCTCTGCTTCGCCGATGCCCCCTGTTCTGCTTCGCCGCTGCCCCAAAACCGCTTCTCTGCTCCGCCGCTGGACCTGTTCCGCTGCGCCGCTGGACCTGTTCCTCTGCGCCGCTGACCTGTTCTGCTGCGCCGCTGGACCTGTTCCGCTGCGCCGCTGACCTGTTCTGACGCGCTGCTGAACCTGTTCCGCTGCGCCGTTGATCTGTTCTGCTGCGCCGCTGAACCTGTTCCGCTGCGCCGCTGACTTGTTATGCTGCACCGCTGAACCTGTTCCGCTGCGCCGCTTACCTGTTCTGCTGCGCCGCTGAACATGTTCCGCTGCGACGCTGACGTGTTCTGCTGCGCCGCTGAAACCTGTTCTGCTGCGCCGCTGAAAACCAGTTCGAAGTTAAGAAATTCGGAAAGACAAGAAATTTCCGACGGAAATGTAAAGTTCCAGAAGCTTACGATGAAAGGCGTGGAAGAGAAGGAATCGCCGTTGAAATTTGAAGTGCGCAAAGACGGAATGTGAATGCGCTCTTGAACGGCGCGAAGACTTGAAGTCGGAAAATGCTAGGCGTAGGAGCCGAAAACCGTAAGAGTTATCGAAGAACTGAAGAGAACCATCACGACGCCAAGGATCGGATTCCGCATGAGCGGAATTTACTAGCTCTGATACCATGAAAGAAATGGAGCTGAAGTGATTGATTAGTAGAGAAGGCACTAGGCCTTAAGTATAAACAAGGTTGGGTTGAGTAAAACTAGGGAAAGGATGGGGTGGGAATCCTAGGTAAATCTCCAATGGTGAGTTGGCAGATTTGCTGGATTACGAGAGAATCCCAACCAGATATGGTTGGGATCGCAATCTACACCCAACCTACAAATAATCTACAAGATATAGAATATAGTACACAAAGTGTTGACAGCCTATTTCTAACGGCGCCCTCTCCCCTTGTGCAGCATCTGTCCTCCTCCCTCTCTCCTCCCCTCTTCGCTTCTCTCCTTTTCTCTCCCCTCGTCTCCTTTCCCCCCCCCTCCCCACACTGCATTGTGCTGCTCCCACCTGGTCTCTCAACCACAATCCGCTGGCTGTCTGCCTTCCCTCCCCCTGCCTGCATGTCTGCCTGCCTTCCCCCTGCCTGCCTGTCTGCCCGCCCTCCCCCTGCCCCCCTCACCAGGTCTGTTGACCACAATCCGTTCCTGAAGGGAAAGCTGCCGCCCTGCTGGGCCACCATTCAATCCCTCGGCACTCTGTACGCCTCACTGCCCTGCTCCCTGCTCTCACTCTACGCTCCCTCCTTTGCTCCACCATTCAGTCTGTTGGCACTCTGTACGCCCTCTGCTCTCTGCAATTCTCCCCACCATGCACTCGCTCCCCCTTGCACTCTCCCTGCCTCCCCCCTGCCCTCCCTGCCCTCCCCCTACCCTTCCCTTTCCCTCTCCCTTCTCTCCCCCCTGCTCTCCCCCCTGCTTCCACCGATTCCAGATTCCCCCTAATCCACCGTTTCACCCCCCTTCTTCCTGCCTCTTTCCCCATCCCGCGCATCAGCACACCCACCAGTACCAAGCTGCGCCAGTACCAAGCATCCACCATTCCCCCCTCTTTCCCCTCTCTTTCCCCCTTTTCCCCCCCTTTCCCCCCCATCCCCCCTCACAGCACACCCACCACAAGCTGCGCCAATACCGAGCATCCACCATTCCCCCCCTCTTTCCCCCTCTCTCCCCCCCATCCCACCTCACAGCACACCCACCAGCATCAAGCTGCGCCAATACCAAGCGTCCACCATTCCCTGCCTCTTTCCCCCCTATCCCGGATCCCCTCTCACAGCACACTCACCAGCACCAAGCTGCACTGCCCCACGCGTCCTGTGGACTCCTGCTGTCCCGGCACCCTTCAGAGCGACCTGCCCTATTGCTCCCTCATCTGCCACAACTTCTGCCGCGACTGCCAACCACCTCGTAACCCTCTCTTACTGCCAACCACCCCATAACCCTCCTTCACTTTCTAACCACCCTATAACCCTCCCTCACTTTCTAACCACCCCATCACCCTCCCTCACTCTCTAACCACTCCATAACCCTCCCTCACTTTCTGACCACCCATAACCCTCCCTCACTTTCTAACCACCCGATAACCGACTCCTGCAACTTAGACGTGAGCAGATTGACGAGTCTTGACTCGGCTCGAATGGCTCGACTCGGGTTTCACCCGGATCGAGCCTTGTTTTTGGCCCTCTGTCTCGGATCGAGTCGAGTCGAGTATGACTCGTCGAGCCAAGCGAGCCGCTAGGCTCGGCCAAGGAACCGTTGCTTGCAGCAATGGTTTGCCCAATCTTGTGGCAACGGTTTTGGCCAGTCGGTTTGGGTGGCATGGCACACAGAAAATCTAGCTGCATGCCCACACCACACCTCTTGTTTCTATGTTTCCAGTCAACTCAAATATCCACCGCCCTTCACGTTCTCTTTGATCCATCATCTATTTTCCGAGTTTATCTGCTTCCATGCCTCCTGTCATATCATGCCCTGGGATTCCATAAACTTACGGCCACCCTGTTTACCATAAGCCGCCTTATTTACCATAAGCCGCTCTCTCAGGTGTGGATAAATTGCTCACTGTCCAATCCTCGGCTATTCTCCCGCGCTGCTGGGGAGTGTGGTGCTGCACTGCTGGGGATTGTGGTGCTGCGCTGCTGGGGAGTGTGGTGCAGCGCTGAGTGGAGAAAGACGCACGCGTCCTGCTGCGTCCTGCGTCTGGACGCAGCGTCCAGACGCAGAGACACAAGATGCGCGTCCAGACGCAGGACGCACCCCGTAATTTTTTTCGGAAAAAAAATTGTTGCCCCAGCGCGAAATTGACTCTAACGATTTCGACGCGACTGTCAATTTCGCGTCATGTCGACCCCCCCTAACCCATTTCGACCATCAAGAACACCCTAGAGGGTTTACCAAGACAATTCTCCTTCGTAAACCCGAAACCCTGAAAATTTTAAGAGGACGATTTTGCCTCAAATGTGTGCATCGTCCTTCCCCCCCCCCCCCACCCCCCCCCCCCCCCCCCCCCCCCCTTCCCATACCCTACAACATCATTTTTCGGCTGCCCGGGGGTTTTTTTTGCCCTGCCCGGGCATGCGTCTTTTCATGCGTCCTAAAGGCCCTCCTCTAGCGTCCTGCGTCTAAGACGCTGCGTCTGGACGCATGCGTCCAGGACGCAGGACGGGTCTTTCTCCACCCATGCAGCGCTGCTGGGGAGTGTGGTGCTGCGCTGCTGGGGAGTGTGGTGCTGCGCTGCTGGGGAGTGTGGTGCCGCTGCTGGAGTGCTGCTCTATGTATGGCACCGCTTATCTCCCCCCAATCCAACGCACCCATCCACTCTCTCCCCATTCCCTTGTACCCTACGCCCACCAGTGCTATCGACAGCAAACATTGCTGTGTTAGATTATACTACTCTTCTGTATCCTGCATTGATCCTATAAACCCTAGGATAGAGATAGGGTTTGGGTGCACAACTACGGTTAACCCTAGTTGGGGGTTGGAACCCAATCTTGGTCCAATTATTGGCCTCCAAGGTTGGGTTGGGAGATTATTGGCCCCCCCCAATAATTTTGGCCCACCTGGCCAACATTATTGGGACCCCCCAATAATTCTCCAACCCAACTTATTGGTCGGGGGCCAATAATGTTGGTTAGGTACCCAACCAACCCCCCCTCCCCTAGCTTCAACTATGTAAACCCTCATGATTCCTAATCAAGTCAATGGTTCAATTCTCACATGCTGGTATCGTGGTGGGAAGTGTGCTGCTGCTTCTGGCAGTGCTGCTTTACATGTGGCGCTGCTATCTCCCCCTGATCCAGCCAAGCCAATCCATCCACCCCCACCCATTCCTCCCCTGCACCGTCCACCCACCAGTACTGTCCGCAGCAGACATTGCAGGCATTGCGGTGAGAGCTGTATGGCACTGCTGCTTGCAGCGCTGCTCTACACTTTTGTGCGAGGCATCTCCTATCTCTCTCTAATCCGACCCACCCATCCACTCTATCCCCATCCCCCCTGCACCGTCCGTCCACCAGTGCTATCCACATCAGGCATAGCAGGCATGGTGGTGGGCTGTGTGGTGATTGTGCTAGTCGTGCTGCTCCTTCTGCTCTACGTTTGGTACTACTACTGGGGACCCGGCAGCCGCAAGGGTGAGTGGGGAGAAGGACGAGTGGGGTGCGATGGTGAGTGCGGTGGGGGTGTGCGTGGGCTAGGGAGTGTGGTGTTGCTGTGGGCAGCGCTGCTCGTGCTTCTCTACGTGTGGTGGTACTGCTACTACTGGGGACACTGCCGGCGGCCGCAAGGGAGAGAAGTAAGCCTGTCAACGGATACAGATGCCTTCTCTACACTTTTAAGTGTGTGTGCACCAACAGTGTGTGTGCACCAACAGTGTGTGTGCACCAACAGTGTGTGTGCACCAACAGTGTGTGTGCACCAACAGTGTGTGTGCACCAACAGTGTGTGTGCACCAACAGTGTGTGTGCACGAACGGTGTGTGTGCACAAATGTGACACATGGGTGTATTACATGCCTTCTCATGAGGGTGCTTACATGCACTTTTTGCTTCCCCCTCTCTGCTTCCCCCTCTCTGCTTCCCTTCGATCTTTGCTCTCCCCACCTCTACCTTTCCTGCCCTGTCTCTCTCTGCTCCCCTGCACTCTCTCCCCCCTCCTCCCCACCCAGCGTGGGAGAGAGAGCTGCAACAGGGCTTTAGGAAGTACTGATTATGCCATTCTCCATCCCGCCTCTGTGCCTTCCCTCGCCCCCTCCCACCCATAAGCAGCATGGGAGAGAGAGCTGCAGCAGGCCTTCAGGAGGTACTGATGATGCCACTCATCAATCCCGTTCTCTGTGCATCCCTCCCCCCCCCTTCCCCCCTTGGGTACCGTGGGAGAGGGAGCTGCAGCAGGGCTTCAGGAGGTACACGTGGAGGGAGGTGATGGAGGCGACCAACCAGCTGAGCACTGGTGATGCCACTCCATCCCACCCTCTGTGCATCCCCCCTCCCCCTCCTTCCCGCTCCCCGGCAGCGTGGGAGAGGGAGCTGCAGCAGGGCTTCAGGAGGTACACGTGGAGGGAGGTGATGGAGGCGACCAACCAGCTGAGCCCCGACAACCTTCTGGGGAAGGGCGGCTTCGGCTCCGTCTACTGGGGCGTCATCGGCGAGGAGCAGCACAGCGGGTGGAGCTCGCGGGTGTGGAAGAGAGCCGAGGCCAGCAGCAGAACCAAAAGCAGTTTCATGAGTGGGGCCAGTGGCACGAGTGGGGGAAGCGGCACGAGTGGGGGCAGTGGCACGAGTGGGAGCACAACTTCTCTGGTTGAAGCTGCTGCTGGTGCCAAGGGTGCGGGGTCGGGTGGCAAGGTGGCCGGCAGTGCCGATGGGTCGGACGGGGGGGTGCGTTGCGCGGGCGGCGGTGTCCATGTGATGGGCGGCATGGAGGTGGCTATCAAGCGGGCGGCTGCTGTGGAGCGATCGTCCAGTATCGCCACCATGTTTGAAGAAGAGGTCAGTGGTGTGATGCGGTGTGGTGCGGTGCGATAGCATGGTACGGTGTGTTGTGTGTGTTGCCACCGTGTTTGAAGAGGAGTGGTGTGGTGTTGCAGTGTGGCTCATTGTGGTGCACTGTGGTGCACTATGTCACCTGGCCCCCTCCCCCTCTCACCATGCCACCACGCCTGGCAGGTGAAGGCGGTGTCCAAGTTGAGTCACAAGTACCTCGTGCGCCTCCTCGGCTACTGCAACGAGAACAACGAGCAGGTGGGCCTTCGTGTGCCTACGTATGCCATCCCCATCTGCTTGCAACTGTTGCCCTCATCCCCCAACAGCTAGCGCCTTCATCTCTTACCATGTGGTGCAAGCTTTTCGATGACTCCTCATCGCGTACTTTCCATCTCTTATGATTTACATTCAATTCAATTCGAGAACACAGCTGAACTATTCGCACATGAGCCCTCAAGCTGTTGAACCTAGCAGGAGTTGTGCTGGTGTACGTGTGCGCATCTGACAAGCCCATAGCGTCAATTTTCTAGTCGACTCAAAAGCCCATAGCGTCAATTTTGTAGTCTACTTAAAAGCCCATAGTGTCAAATTTTTAGTCGAATCCAAAGCCCCTAGCGTCAATTTTCTAGTCGACTCAAAAGCCCATAGCGTCAATTTGTTAGTCGACTTAAAAGCCCATAGTGTCAAATTTTTAGTCGACTCCAAAGCCCCTAGTGTCAATTTTTTAGTCGACTCAAAAGCCCCTAGTGTCAATTTTTTAGTCGACTCAAAAGCCCTTAGTGTCAATTTTTTAGTCGACTCAAAGCCCATAGTGTCAATCCCCTGGCCAGTGCACGTCGTAGCATTCACTACCTGAGATGTCTCGTACGTTATAACCCCCCAGCAGGTGTTGATATATAAGTTGGTTTTCTATAGATTCCCCCATTTAATCACACATGAAACCCCCTTCCCAGATGCTGGTGCACAAGTATGTGCGCAACAGTTGAATCCCTGGTTTGTCCCTGGTATACCCAAACCCAACCACCCCCCCCCCTCCCTTCCCCCTCTCCAGGTGTTGGTATATGTGCGCAACTGTTTTCCTTAGCCAACTAAGAAGTCTTTCCCCCCTCCTTCCCTTCTCAAACGGTCTGTTGTATTGATTCAGCAGGGGTACAGACAAGCAGTTTTATCCATGATGACCTCAATCCCTTAAGCCCTATAACCCACCCCTCTTTTCCCCCCCCTTAGTGACCCTCTATCCCTCCAGCGTGTGGAGGATGTCCCCCAAATGCAGCGGCCATGGGTCCTCTGCCATCTGGGGGTGCGCTGCCTCGATTCCAGCCCTGGCCTTGGTGTGCAGGGCGTTCGCCTGGGAACGCTGGAGGGCCACTGACCAGCGCTGGCTGAAGTGGCAGGCCATCTTCTTGGCAGATTTCGCCAAGGGGTTGGCCCTGAAACGGTTCCTAGCTGCTGCTGTGGCCAGCAGCTTCAGGAACGCCGTCGTGGGGGGCGCATTTGCCCCGTAGGTCTCGACGGCTAGGGCGCAGAACACCACGTGTTCCGTGTGTCGGTAGTACTCCCTCTCCTTCCGCCTCTGTGCCTCTCTAGCAGCCCAGCCTGGGGGTTTGCGGGCTGTGGGGTCCCGGTTCTGCGGCACGGGGTCGGTGATAGTGGTGTCTGTGATAGTGGTGTCTGTGATAGTGGTGTCTGTGATAGTGGTGTCTGTGATAGTGGTGTCTGTGATAGTGGTGTCTGTGATAGTGGTGTCTGTGATAGTGGGGTCTGTGATAGTGGTGTCTGTGATAGTGGGGTCTGTGATAGTGGGGTCTGTGATAGTGGGGTCTGTGATAGTGGGGTCTGTGATAGTGGTGTCTGTGATAGTGGTGTCTGTGATAGTGGTGTCTGTGATAGTGGGGTCTGTGATAGTGGTGTCTGTGATAGTGGGGTCTGTGATAGTGGGGTCTGTGATAGTGGGGTCTGTGATAGTGGGGTCTGTGATAGTGGTGTCTGTGATAGTGGTGGTGTCTGTGATAGTGGGGTCTGTGATAGTGGTGTCTGTGATAGTGGGGTCTGTGATAGTGGGGTCTGTGATAGTGGGGTCTGTGATAGTGGGGTCTGTGATAGTGGGGTCTGTGATAGCGGTGTCTGTGATAGTGGTGGTGTCTGTGATAGTGGGGTCTGTGATAGTGGGGTCTGTGATAGTGGGGTCTGTGATAGTGGGGTCTGTGATAGTGGTGTCTGTGATAGTGGGGTCTGTGATAGTGGGGTCTGTGATAGTGGGGTCTGTGATAGTGGTGTCTGTGATAGTGGGGTCTGTGATAGTGGGGTCTGTGATAGTGGGGTCTGTGATAGTGGGGTCTGTGATAGTGGGGTCTGTGATAGTGGGGTCTGTGATAGTGGGGTCTGTGATAGTGGGGTCTGTGATAGTGGGGTCTGTGATAGTGGGGTCTGTGATAGTGGTGTCTGTGATAGTGGTGTCTGTGATAGTGGTGTCTGTGATAGTGGTGTCTGTGATAGTGGTGTCTGTGATAGTGGTGTCTATGATCCAAGTCTCTCCACTGTCCGGGTCGCGTGCAATCACATCGGCTTTCTTCGGGTCATCCGGCGGTGAGTACACGGCGTTCTCCAGGTATACCACCAGCTCTGCTTCCCTTGCCATTTTAGCCACGGCGAAAGCTAGCTGGTTGTGTGTGCGTGTCCTGTCGGGGCCTGTGCTGCAGCGGAGTAAGTGGTTGGGTAGGCTGCAGTCGGCTACGAGTTCTCCACACTCGCACACGGTGAGAAGCAAAGGTCCGGGGTCAGAGGCAGGGCCTGCAGCCATGCTCCCGCTCCCTCGCCTCTCAGGCTGATAAGGCGGGGTGAGTGACCCATCTCGGGGGCTGACTGGATGTTGTGTCACTCCTCTGTCAAGGCGTCGGCCTTTGCCGCGTGCACCTCCTGAGAGAGGGCGCGTTGCAGCTGGTCTTGGGACGGGGTTTGCTGCTCCTCCCGGAGGTTTTGTAGCGCCAGCGGCAGCAGGCGCCCCTCCATGTCCTGGATGGTTACCGAGTGCGCTGCGGACGGCTGCAGGGTGTTGTTGCTGGCCCCCAGCGCCGCGGTTGCTGGTAGGTCAAGGGATCGGAGCAGTCGTAGCGCCTCTGTCGTTGATGCCAGGTAGGCCGGTGCTGCTTCTGTTGTGGGGTCTGTAAGGCCCAGCCCGCCCAGGGCGACTGGAAGAGTTGCTTGTTGGAGCAGGAAGTTGAACTCGGCTTCTCGGCGTGGCGGTTGAATGCTGGCGGCTGTCAAGGCAGTGTGCAGCAGTTCGGAGCACCATGTGTGCCATTCCGAGAGAGGTAAGACGTCTGCTGGGGTAGTGTGCAGCAGGTAGCCGATTCTGCGGCTGATGCAACGGGACAGTAGCAGGAGGGCGTGTTGTGGGTGGATGGACGCCAGAGAACCCAAGGGAGCTGCCGCGTCTGTCAGGGTACTGCGGACAAAGGCAGAGCAGAAGCTCTGCAACCCCACAGGACTTCCCAACACCCGTACCACCTCGTGGGTGTGGGGAAGGCCCTCAGGGAGCACGTCACCTCCAAGCGGCATGGAGGACCACGCCGACGACTTCCTAAAGTTGCAGGTGAGGCCATCCTGTGCTAGTAGCGGCGTGAGCTCCCTTAGCGCGCCTAGCGTCGCCGTCGCGGGTCCAATCATGGTTATGTCGTCTGCGTACGCGAGGACGGTGACTTCCGGGTGCTCCGCTGCTACGTGCCTGTGGTGCTGCTGGATAGACGCCGCGAATAGCAGGGGTCCGAGGGGATCCCCCTGTCTGACTCCTCTTCCGCTGGTGAGTGCTGTGGAATTGAAGCGTGGATCTAGCAGCAGCGGTGCTCGTCCTCCCGCTGCTGCGGACCTAATCCGGCGCCGATTTGAGGACCAGCGCCGCCCTCCTGGGCCGCGCATCGCTGAATCGCCTCCAAAGGAGGCAACCCGCGCGGAATCCGCTGTGCGTTCTGGCGCCTTGGCGGAGCCGCACCGGGGGCGTTCTCCACGTCGCCGGTCGCCTGAGCCTCGTGACGACCGCTGCGAGGGGCGGCGTGAAGATCGCCGAGAGCGTCGCTCCCCTCGTCGTCAGGGGAGCCGCAGCCGTTCCCCTGGGCGTCGTTCTCCAAGTCACCGTTCCCCGTCTCGCCGTTCGCCTCGCCGTCATTCACCCACACGCCGATCCTCAGGGCGTCGCTCTCCTGCTCGCCGCATTCCGCGCGAATCGCCGGTGAAGCGCCAGCGGCGTCATTCTCCATCGCGTCGTGAGAGATCCCGTGCGCTCTGCCCGCGCAGCACGTCCCGGCCCCAATCTCCTGCACGCTCGTGGTCGAATAGTCGTGGGTGGGGTTGCAGTCGCGGGGGGCGCGGGCGGGGGTCGCCAGTCCGCGTCGGACTTTGCGCGCGCCGCGGAGAGGCTTCCGGACGTGCTCGCAACTGCTCTCCGTGAGTCGCAGGCGGCGACAGCCTGTCGCTCCGTTCCGCCAGATGCTCCTCGTTCTCTTCCCGCCATTGTCGAGGTGGCCGACTGTGCGGTGTCCCCGCAGCGCTCTGTCCAGCAGCCGCCTGGTCTCCCGGGTTTTGTTGGCGCTGGCAGAGGCCCAGCAAGGGGTCCGTATCGTGACCCTCGTCCTCGCCTTGAGGAGGCGGAGTATTCATGTTCCACGGCGACCCTGTGTCAGCTGTGGATACTGTCGGAGTGCCTAGAGGCACTGGCGCGTGTTCCACTGGCGCGTGTTCCACTGGCGCGTGTTCCACTGGCGCGTGTTCCACTGGCGTGTGTTCCACTGGCGCGTGTTCCACTGGCGCGTGTTCTCCGGTCGACTCGTGCGTCGATGCCGATATCCCGCCCGAGCACATTTGCTGAGAAACCGCAAGCAGCGTGCTTGGGGGCGGCGGATGAGATCCTATCCCTCTTGGCGCCACTGCAGGCAGCGCCCTCCCCGAGTGCAGACGCGGCCAACCTGCTGGCTCGTGCGGCCCTGGATCTAAGGCACATTGCAGGGTCGGTTGAAGGCACATTGCAGGGTCGGTTGAAGGCACATTGCAGGGTCGGTTGAAGGCACATTGCAGGGTCGGTTGAAGGCACATTGCAGGGTCGGTTGAAGGCACATTGCAGGGTCGGTTGAAGGCACACCCGGAGATGCTCTAACCGCCTGCGTGTCAGTGGTCCGCCACTTTTGTGGCGGACCATGCGCGGAATTCTCTCGTTTCTGGGGGCGGACCGCATGTAGGTACTCCCCTTAGTCTTGTGTAGACCTTCTCCATGATGCTTGGTAGTTGATGTTGCATACTGTCCGCTAAAGTTGTCCCGTTACCTAAGCTTGCCACCTAAAATGCGCGGCCTCGCGAGCGCCGGCGGCCGAGGCCGCTGTCGCGAAGCGTCGGAAAATTTGGAATCACCAAATGAATAATGAGCTAGGGAAGGTGCCGGTTGGCCATTATATAGCTGAGGGAAGGGGAAGAGGCTAGGAGGGAAGAGGCTAAGTCCCCCCTTCTCTCTCTCTCCAGGTGTTGGTCTACGAGTATGTGCGTAACGTCCCACTCAGCGACCATCTATACGCAAAGTTCCACGGGCACCTGCTGCATGCATTCACCCCCCCACCTCCCCCCCCCACGCCTCTTCCCCCCCTCTCCCTCTCCAGGTGTTGGTGTACGAGTATGTCCGCAACGGCCCTCTCAGCGACCATCTCTACACCAAGTTCCAAGGGCACTTGCTGACCTTCGAGGAGCGACTAGATGCGGCACTGGGGCTGGCGGAGGGGCTCAGATACCTGCACTGCCACGCGGAGAAGCCCATCGTGCATCGAGATATCAAGCCCTGCAACGTGCTGCTCACAGAGGACTACCAGGTGGGTGGAATGCGGTAACAGGGTATCACATTTGCCAGTGAGAAGGGCTCAAGTACCTGCACTCCACTGCCACGCGGAGAAGTCTACCGCGCATTGCGACATCAAGCCCTGCAACGTGCTGCTTATAGAGGAGTGTCAGGTAAGTGGAAGCCAATCACATGGTATCACCAGGAAGTATGTTACAGCAGGTGATTTTTGTCTTAGGAGATTGTAGCCCCATGTAGGAAGTGTATGGAAATTATATTTTCTTCTAGTTTACGCTACAACACGTACAACAAAATCGCTCGGAATGACATGCTTGGCCCCATCTTCTCAACCTTATGGCTCCCTCACATCGCCGTCAGACTTCGCGTGCCCAACCTGTGCTAAATGTCAACTTTCGAGGTCCCTTGTTGTACCTCATTTCTATTATAGTCCCCGTATATAAGACCCAAGGGACTTTCTTTAAATCCCCCTGAAAACGTCAGGGTGAACATCATAATGGCACAGTAGGCATGAGCAACAAGGCGAGTAAATTTCTCGCCTCTTTTTTGTTATTCGTTTTGGGTGAGTAAGGAGTCCGAAAATTTACTCGTTTTCGTCGAGTCGAGCAATATTCGCGGGTAATCGAGTACACGCGATTTACTCGTTTTTAGAAAGCAATTATCGGGTAATGGAATAACTCGCGAGTGAGGAAACAAGTACAAAGTAATGTAAATGATGAGCAGACAAACATTTGATACCATACTAGAAAAACCGCGTTCTCGATTCATGACACACAGCATTTTGACTCGTCATTGAAGCACTCCCACAAACATCAAGCATAAATCCTCAATCATGCCATTTCCTTTACGCCTACGCACAAACAATCACAACAAGGCAAGTAGAAACCATGAGGGTGCATGAGCTCATTTTGGTTCGAGCAAGAGCATGCTATGGCTCATATTTCCATTCGCATGCATACACAAATGTGTGTACATACACATCCATGAACACACACGCATACACATGCATACACACACGCGCATTCGCATGCATCCATGCGAATACATTTGTGGACACATAATCTCTTCCAACCCCACACACATCAGGTGGCAATATCAGACTCCAGTGAGAAGATGCATACGGTGTTGAAGGTTGACCTAAGATTGCTCAAATGACTGGAGGAGGGAGCAGAGACGAAAAGCATGCACAGACATGCGCACACCCTCACAGCCTGTCTCACTCGCACTCTTGCACACGTCGCACATCCACCTTGTGCTGCACAAACGCGCCGTGTCATCGTGCAGGTGAAGATAGCTTTTTCAGGCTACTGAGAAGCACGCACAGACACACCCTCACAGGCTGTTTCTCTCACTCTCTGACACACATTCCATATCCACCTCTTGTCGCACAATCGAGCCTTGCATTTTGCAGGTGAAGATAGCCGACTTCGGGCTGCTGAGCAGAAGAAAAGCGCGCACACAGACACGCAGACACACCCTCATAGGATGCATCCCTCACACTCATGCACACATCCCACATCCACCTTCCGTCGCATGAATGTTCCCCGTCATCCTGCAGGTGCAGATAGCCGACTTCAGGCTGCTGAGAAGCACGCACAGACACACAGACACGCAGACACGCCCTCACAGCCTGTTTAACTAACACTCTGACACACATCCCATATCCACCGTGTGCCGCACAAACAAACCTTCTCATCCTGCAGGTGAAGATAGCTGACTTTGGGCTGCTGAGGCTGCTGGACGATGGGGCGGCCAGGGAGGGCGCATACACGCGTGTGGCAGGCACGAGGGGGTATCTGGACCCCGAGTACATGACGTGTGAAAAAGTTTCCACGGCAAGCGATGTGTACAGGTGGGTGTCTGGTATGTCCCCTGGTGATCATCCTCAAAAGGAATTTGCACTCACACTGCACACATTGCACTCAAATACACTCATCCACACCACACTCACATGCACCTGCACACACCACAATCACACATACCTGCACGCATAGCACTCTCACACACACCTTTTTACAACTGCACACACACCCACTCACACACACCAGCACACACACCCACTCACACTCACACCCACTCACACACACACCAAGATTCAGTCACACCCATCTGTACACATTGCTCGAGGTGAACACCTTCTCACTTTTGAGTCGACTCAAAAGTCAGCTCGAGGTGGACACCTTCTCACACGCCATGTACTCGGGGTCCAAAGATACCCACTTACCACACTTTGTCTTCTTCCTCCCGTGCTCATGTCTCAACTCTTACCCATTGTTCCTCCCCTCATTTCGTGTCTCTCAGCGCCTCAAAGTGTGTATTCACCACCTCGTGCTCCGTGTTTCGCATCCCCATGCGCTGCTTGTGAACCACCCACCAGCTACGGTGTGCTGTTGCTCGAGATGGTGACAGGGCGGCCGGCCACGGCCAGGGACCCAGAGGATGAGTCTTGTCTCATCCACATCACCACTTGGGTGAGCTCTCATGTCCACGTCAGCACCTGGTTGAGCTATCATGTCCATGTCAGCAGCACCTGGTTGAGCTCTCATGTCCACGTCAGCACCTGGTTGAGCTCTCATGTCCACGTCAGCACCTGGTTGAGCTCTCGTGTCCACGTCAGCACCTGGTTGAGCTCTCATGTCCACTTCCGCACCTGGTTGAGCTGCCATGTCCACCTCACCACCTGGGTGAGCTGAGCTCCCAAATGCTTCAGGGCATCAAATAGCCTTCCATCCTGCACTGAATGCTATGCTTGTGTGCCTATTGATGTCGCCATGCTTGGCTTGTCACGAGTCACAGTGGCACCCCTCTCATCTTCCATCACAGCTCCTCCCCTCTCTCCACCATACTTTCACCATGTGTCATCTCGCCTCAATGTATTCTAACCATACAAAGACATCCCTGCCTCTCTCTGCTTCTCCCTCCTCCCTCTCCCATCTTATACTTCGTACCAAACATACGATTAAATTCTGCACTTACACTTTGCACTTAAGTAACGCACTTACATTTACCACAAATTATAAGCTTAGTGCACTTGTTCTAATTTGGGGAGGGGAGAGAGAGATTGTTGAATAATTTGTGTTTTGAATTTCTTAAATTCTATTCTCGAGCTCCTGAGAGAAAATTGTTTTCCTTCCTTTCGCTCCTCTTTTCCAACCCCCTCCTCTTCCATCACCCCCTTCCCCCCCTCTCTCCTTCCCTTCCACCAGCGGGTGCCATACATTAATCGAGTGTCGCCTCGCCTCACCTATATGTCACCTATTGTGCCACCCTCCCTAACACCTACCCTCTCCCCTCCCCCCCACAACCAGGCGGTGCCACACATTGAGCGCGGGGAGGTGCGAGTGATAGCCGACACAGGCATCACCTCGACTCGCCTCGCCTCTCTGTGACCTCTCCTGTTGTGCCATCCTCCTACTCCCCCCCCTCCCGCCCCCTCCCGTCCCCTCCCGCCCCCTCTCCCCACCAGGCGGTGCCATACATGGAGCGCGGGGAGATCTGGGTGATAGCCGATGTGCATACCACCTCCTCTCTCCTCTATGTCACCTCACCTGTTGTGCCATCCTCACATTTCCTTACCCCAATCCCACTACTCAGACGGTGCCATACATCGAGCGTGGGGAGGTGCGGGTGATAGCTGATGCACGCATCGCCTCTCCTAGCCGCCTCTCAACTATCGTAGCACCCCTCAACCTCCCTCCCTCCCCCCCCCCCTCCCCCTTCCACTCAGGCGGTGCCATACATAGAGCGCGGGGAGGTGCGGGTGATAGCGGACGCGCGCATCGCCTCGCCGCTCAACCTGCCCTTTCTGCTGCAGATGGCGCGCACCGCCGCCCTCTGCGTGCAGCTGCCGTCCACGCGCCGCCCGGACATGGCTGAGGTGGCACGCGTCATGCTGGACGCCCGCAGGGGCTTTCATGCCGCTGCTTCTGCCGCTGCTGCCGGCGCTGCTGCTCTCGCCGCCGCTGGTGGTGCTGCTGCTGGTGCTGCTGGTGGGCCGGGTGTGCAGGGAGGAAGACAAGGAGGGGTGGGGGGAGCAGGAGGAGGAGGAGGAGGAGCAGGGATGATAGGGGGGGCTGCTGCACTGGCAGCGCATGTATCGAGAGGAATTACGGCTGGGGCAAAGGCGTTGGGGGGGAAGGGGGACGCGCAGGGAGGGGAGGTGGGGAGGAGTGGGAGTGGCAGGAGTGGTAGTGGGCGTTTGGGAGGCAGCCTTAGGGTTATGCAGAGTGAGAGTATGAGGAGGTGGGTGCAGTACTTTGCAGGGGGTGGCAGTGCGAGTAGGAGAGACACTGAGAGCTTTGAGGAGATCATGCCTACCAGTACACTACAAAGCTCAGGGAGAGACTGGAATAGTGAAGCTGACTCGGAAGTGTATGTGCGATAGTACTGTACATGCAGTGTGATGTGTTGATGCTAATAAAAAGTATGACACGCCTTGAGAGGTTACGGTGTTTATGGTTGTGTATATATAAGACGGAGATTACGATCTAGGATTTTCTCAGCGGAGACATAAAAGTACAGTAGCCTTTATTCCCTAAAAACTATTACCGTATGGCCCCGGATAGAAGCGCAGGCCTATGTTAAGCGCATGCGCTTGTATCTGGAGCAATGCGCTTATGGCCGATCCTCAATTATAAGCGCACCCCTTTGGAATTCTTGACTTATTATAAGCGCACTCGTTTAGTTAAAAAAAAAAAAAAGAATTTCATTTTTTTTAACCTACCTAGCCTACATGTTCTAAACTTTCCATTAAGAATGACTATCACATACAAGGGTGGTCTCTGCTGTCCTGCACTACACCTTTCAACCTGCCTAGTCTACCCTACTGCCTTTTCTTCCTCCTCGTCCGACTCAGGCTCCGTGGAGTTGTTGCCCCAGAACCCATCTGCCTGGATGTCGTCGTCCACCTCCACCTCATGGGACAACTGGCACCTTCGGTGCGCTAGCACCAGTTTGTCTTCGCTCCCATCAAGAGCGTTGCTGATGCCGCAAGTGAGGAAGGCTTTCTTGATGAGGTCGGCGGGCACCGCCTTCCAGGCCCGTGAAATCCACTTGAGCACCACCTCCGGAGGTGGTTTCTTGATGTTCCCTGCATCACACGGAGTGGGGCGGGGAAAACATGAGACAAGTAAACATGCATTCAAGCTCAAGATTTGCAGACGGGAGCACATGCCGTCACTCACCTGCCGGGGTCAGGATGTTCATGCCGTCCTCCTCAAACCAATTTTGGTACTGCTGACGAATGCTTGCTTTGAAGCTTTTGTTGATCGACACATCGAGGGGCTGCAGGTCTGCCGTGCAACCCGCCGGAATGATAGCAGGCACGATGTTGAGCGCCGCGAATCTCGCCTTGACTTCTGGTGTCAGGTGACCGCGATACGAGTCGAGCACCAGCATGGCGCTACGACTCTGCAGACCGAATTTCGGCTTCAGGAACGGCACCACGCCCGTGTTGAGCCACTCGATGACGCCTGCGGCCTCCATCCACCCGTTGGCTTGGCAGCCGACCACAACATCTGCACGCAACGAAAAAGAACAGTTAACGACTCAGGTAGTAACGGGAATAAACACGGTGGACGATCACTTACCGTTCGGGAAGTCACCCTTGGGGAGTGTCTTGCGCTTGAAAAACACCCACGGCTTCAGCTTCTCGCCCGTCGCCGTGCACGCAAGCATGACGGTCACTCTCTCCTTCTGGTACCCACCGCTGCGAATGGGCACCGACCTCACGCCCGTCTGCTCCACGGTGGTCGTCGCCGGCATCTCTAACCACAGCGGTGTCTGGTCGGCGTTGATGATGTAGCGGTTGTCAATGTCGTATTCGTGACGGGCGTCACGTACGTACTGCCAAAAATCATTGCACTGCTCAGCCACGTCTGCAGAACAGGGAGAAAGGTACATACAGTAAACCAAATTAGTATGACGCATAGGAGACATGCGAAAAAAACTAAGCGCAATCGGGTACCCACCAAAATCAGCAGTAAACGACCCACTTACGCTCCTGTGTTTTCTGTGCCACCTTTGTTTTCATGCGCACGCTGAGGTTCCACCGCCTGCGGAACCGCTCCGTCCACCGCTGACTGGCTTTCCACTTGACGTCCGGGTATAGAACCTTCATCACTTCTTTGGACCACTCTTGCAGCCGGCCGACAGAAACCGCAACTCCGCGGCGTCGCCAGTCGAGGAGTTGCGCGTACACCTTTAACTCCATGGGGCGGTACCAAGACGACCTCCCGCGCCCGTGAAGTCGCATCCGTGCTCCGTGTGCAGCCTTGAGCGCATCCGCTTGGGCTTTCCATTCTGTCAGACATTTTCGGTGAATGCCTGACTCCCGCGCCACTTCGCTCACCGAAGCCGCAAGCTCGAGCCGCACGAGCCACCTCAACTTCTCCTGGGCGGTGTAGGACTGCCGCTTATGTTGATTCAGCTTGTGCCTGGGGGAGGGGGGGCGGGCATCTCGATTCTCGGTAGACGGGTGGGGGCGTTTTTTATTAAGGGGCGGATATGTCGGTACCGGCATCTTCGTGCGTGGTGCGTCGCGCCACCAGGACTCCACACCGTCCTCGTCCTCGTCACGGTCGGGGAACACGTCTTCCTCGTCGCCCGCTGCACCGTCGCCACCAGCTTCACCGTCGCCTCCAGCTTCGCCGGCGCCGCTGTCATGTTTATCGGTAGCCACATCATCGTCGGCGCCCACAGCCGACTCATCCCACGCGCAGGATTCTGGTTGTCCCCACCGTGGTGCAGTCGCTGGAGCTTGGATACGTGCATCGCGGGCCTTCGGTGTGTCCGCTTCAGCCAACCATTCGTCGAACGTGGCTGGTAAATACAGTTGGAGCACGGGCCGTTGGTGAGCACCTGCCGTGGCAAAAGCAGGCGGATTCGGAGGAGCGGGAGGTGCGGGAGGAGCGGGTGGAGCAGGGGGTGCAGGGGGAGCAGGAGGAGCAGGGGGTGCAGGGGGATCCGGTGGCACTGGAGGCGCTGGTGGCTCACGGGTATACCACCCGTCTTCGGTAAGTCGCCATGTGCGGCGTGGCTTTTTCTTGAAGAGGATGCTCGTCCCACTAAATTCCGCCATGGCTTCGCCTGCCAGGCGGGGTTGACAAGGAACTGAATGAAAAAATCAGAGAAGAGGGTGAAGAAATGGGCAACGACGGTGACCCCTGCTGTGTGACGGCTCGGGTTCCTCGTCGATGACAGGCAGGAAACCCCCGCCCACTCCCGTAGAGGCGCCTGCGTGGCAGCATCTACGCTGCGCTGGCAGAGAATCTTGCCGAACCTTCGAGATGGTTCTGCCCGAATGCACATGCCTCGCAGCGCATGCGGCTCTGATTGGGCCGCACGACAACATCATCGTCACGGCTGTCACATTCTATGTTTCCAGACAACATTGTGCGGTGGTAAACCGAACCGCTGCGGTTTCTGCCTGAAAACCATGCACGATCCCACTTGGTGCATGGTCGGTTGAATTCGCCTTATTGAGAGCTTCACAATGGTGTGTTCAAAATTGATTTTCATTTTTCCCTTTATACAAGCGCATGCGCTTATAAATCTGACTCAATTATAAGCGCACCCCCCCAAGAAACAATGTTTTATTATAAGCGCAGGTGCGCTTCTATCCGGGGTATTACGGTAGTAGTCCGTGACAGGAGTGAAAGTGTTGTTTGACTAAGGCTGGTTGGGGTACATAAACCTAACCCTAACAGTTGTACCCCTTATAACACACCTCACAAAGACTACAACATTTGACAATACGGCATTTGTAGAAAGTTACCGGGGTCCTCAATCCAGGGATTTCCGTATGTCTCAGGGTGTTTTACTCAGGCAACCCTGGTTCCAAAGGGTGCCTCAATACAGTTCGATTCTTGGGGCCCTGATCAACACCCAAATTCACGTTAAACAAAGATGCTGAACTCAAGCCATACATTACTTGCAATTCTGCTTATAACATTTCTTTGTTAACCCAGAAATAAGCACCAATAATTATGGATGGATATACAAACAGCTACTGGTATTAGAGTTAATATGGACAGTTACACACACCTCAATTCAATCATCATATAGGTCCTCTGACTCGTCCGAATCGTATCTCTCATCACCTCTTGCCGCGTGCAGTGGCCTGCGTGCCTCCTCCCTCCCATCATCCCTTCCTGCTTCCCGCCCACTCCCTACCCTCCTTCCACTTCCCAGCCCCCTCCCACTCCCGGGTCCCGAGTCATACTCATGCCGCCCGGACATCCCCTGCTGACGTGGCCCCCTCACAGGAGTGTACTCCTCCACGTCATCCGGGTCCGAATCCTTGTCATCATAGTCGCGTGTGGGAGCCGGCATGTGGCGGGGCGGCTGGCGAATAGCAGCAGCGCTGCCGCTCCTGCCATGGCTGTATGATGTATACGCACCACCATGCCCCCCAGGCGAGTCCATATCAATATCATCATACTCATACTCCGCACCCCCGGCCATATCCTCCTCATCCTCATCCTCGTGCTGCCTAACATCACAGTAATCCCTCTCCCCTCTCCCACCACCACCAGTCATGAAACTCACGGTGCTTCTGGGCCCGGCCCGAGTCAGCCCATCTGCTCTACCTGCTCCTCCTGCACCAAAACCGCCCACCCCACCACCACCTACTCCTACCGCCCCTGGCAGAATTCTCTGACTGTCCCCTGTGTGTATGGCTGCTTCCGCAGACACGGCTCGGGGCACGCCCTGGCCGCCCGCAACCCCCCTCCCTGGCGCTGCAGCCTCCACAGAGACTGACCGCGCCACTGCCCCCTGCGCTGACATCGCCCGCGGAACCCCCCCGCCTCTCCCTCCCCCTCTCCCTCCCCTGCCCCCTCGCCCAACTCCCCCACCTCTCCCTCTCCCCATCCCTCCGCCTCCTCTCCCTCTGCCTGCGGGCCCAGCAGCGGCCACTCGCCGTACACCACTGGAGAAACCACCACCAGAGGCGGAGGAGCCAGCGGACACAGCCCGCGGCACTCCCCCTGCTGCGCCTGCCTGCGAGCTCTTTGTACGCGGAACAGGCGGCTTTGCTTCCCGCCCTCTCCCGCACTCTACGTCCTCCTCATCTTCCGACCGCACCCAGTCGCTATCCTCCCCATCCTCGTCCTCTTCCCCCCTGCCGCTGCCCTTTAGAGAGAATTTCATCTCCGGCTGCTGCAGCTCCCACGGCCTCGGCTGCGCGATTTTCGCCTTTCTCTTCGCCTCTTCCTCCTCGGCCAGTTCTTCCAATCTCTGTGGGCAGCAACACGCGAAGAGCTTTCTCTTCGCGGCCTGGCTGTTGCGGTAAAGGATGCAGAGCGGCACGCCTATAATGAGTCCGATTATAGTGAAGATGATCATGGCGGTCATAACGGCCCAGGGGCTCGCGGGTTTGTTCCGGCAGTCGGTGCTAAGGACGTCTTTAAAGAGGCAGGAGAAGTCGTAACCGTGCTTGATGCTGTCTGCTGACATGTTGAACGGCGCGCTGCCGCCGCTGCTGGCGCTGCTGCTGCTGCTGCTATTGGTGCTGCTGCTGTTGCCGCTGCTGCTTGGGTCAGCCCCGGGTGCTGGTGCGGATCCGGGGGTGGAAGGGGGAGCGGAGGCGGGTGCAGGCGCAGTGGCTGGGTCGCCTGGTGGGACAGGGGAAAAGGGGCAGAGGAGCGCCGGGGAATGGGGAAGGGGGAAGGGGGAAGGGGAGAAGTTAGGAAGAGGAAGGGACTGGAGCAACGGGAAAGGAAAAGGGGAACGTCGAGCGCGGAGTGAGGGGAGTGGCTTGTGGGGCGAGCACCGGCGCGGACAGTGGGGAGGGGGAGGCTGAGGGGTTCAGTTGGTTGCTGCGCGCCGATGGGTGACAGGCCTAAGAGCCGCAACTGCATGGCAGCACGGCAGCACGTTAGCATGTGTAGGGATTTTGTTACAGCTCAGGTGAGAGAACTTGAAGGCGGGAGCGAGAGGGGTGTGAGAGGGGTGTCAGGGGGATGTGAGAGGAAGGAGGGGCAGCAACGGGCAGCAGTGGCGACTCACCTTGTGGCGTGTCCAGCGGCCGTGCTGCGAGTGCGACGGGGGGTTGTCGCATAGGGCTGGCGACGATTACGACCGCCAGCAGCAACATGAGCGGCGACCGACAGGCGACATAGGCCAGGTTCAAGGGCGTTGACCCACGGGGGGGCGGTTGCGTCGCTCTCAGGCGCCTCGAAGCGTCCCGAGCCGGAATCTGCGGCGCGTCTGGCGGTAGGCGTCGGTGCTGCAGTGGCAAGCCCATGACGGCCGCTACGGCAGGCCTTTGCGTCACAGCACGGGCGCAGAAGGGAGGAGGGACGGCGCGGGAGCGCGAAGGATCGGCGCAGCCGCGAGGTGAACAGAACGGAAGCGCTGGATTGAGGAACGACTCCCGGGATCACGGAGATCAAAACTTGATAGCACGCACAGGCCCAGGCTCAGTCTCGAATTGGTGGTGTAATGCGCGAATAATGCGCTAATTCGGTGGTGTCTCGGTTCGTAATGGTTCCCGCGGCCTACCCGCGAGATTACTATTACTACGAAACGGGTCAAGTCGCGAGATGGTACAGTTGCCGAATGGAATTAACGCAGCTTGGGGGGTGTGAGGCTGGAAGTGCGGATTCTACGCGCCTGCGGGTATGGTGCTGGTGTGAACGAGAAACGCACGGAAAGCTGGTGAGGCGAACGAGGAGCTAGGAGGATGAGAGCATCGCAAACAAGCGAACGTGAACGGAAACAGAACATGTCGTGAGAAATCGGGAATCGAGCAGCGAAGAAGTCGCACCCGCTGTTTTAATTTCAGGAGAAAGTCCAGGCTGGTTATCCCAACGCCCGCCATCGTCACCCAGTCTCAGGAGTACTGTAGTCGCAGCCTTCTTCCCACTTCTGATCCCATTTCCCACCCAAGTTCGTTTCCCTTCAACCAAGGACAGGCCGTCCCTTCCCTTCCCTCCCACACACGAATCTGAAGTCAAAAATAGGAGATTTGCTTCTTATCCAGAGGTCCACACAGGCAAGATCCATAACTTCTCGCCGTGAAATTCCCCCCGCCTTCGGATCGCGTCTTCGATTCCTCCACCTGAACCAATCGCCTCCCTCTCGCTGCCCCATCGCGACGCGGCACGGCACCACCAGCCTGACGCCGCGCATTGCATATCCACGCTTCCTCGCGCCACTGACTCACTGCTGTTTGTCGTTTTTGCGAGGTTGGTGGGAAAATGGAGAGCGGCGGATCTTACAGCGAGGCGTTTCAAGGTGTTCCAGCATTCACTATTCATTGGGGGCAGATGAGGGAAGGCTGGGACCTGAGGAGTGCAGCTGGCAGAGTAGTGCGGCTGCTGCTGGTCTGGCCAAGGGCAGTCATGAATCATCCACATCTCGCTTGAGATGAGAGTCATGGGAGTTTTATCCCGTCCCATATTCAATCGTTCATTACCGCTAGAAAACCAGGCAACCACAAGGATACGAGGGTAGCACTGTAGCAACGCTTCTTGTGCTGAGTCATATGGCCTGTGGTGGTGACGTGGTGACCTGGGGTGGGGTGGGAAATCATAGCAACATAATCCTCGTGGGATCTAATAGCAGCCGTGGTGGAGGAGCAAGGGGCAGGTACAGCGAAGAAAGGCGACAACAGCGGAGTTCGCAACGCTCGCGGACGCCCAGCTCCACATCCCTCTACACCGAGAGCTCGCGAAAATGGGGTTCGTTGACATGATTCGCTAGAAGCTAGCCATTCTCACAACAGTACATTTGATAATCATAATCGGGAGAATATGCCATTCTTAACCATCATGGGACTCGAAAACATGTGTGGTTAAAAAATAAAGGGTACGGTCACTGCAAAGGGTGTTTTCACGCAACTCATAAAGCGTTTCACGGAATCAGGCACAATCAACTGGTAAAATAAAACGCGAATGGTCACGGATGAAACTCCCGCCAAAACAAAATGAAACCCAAAAAGAATCTGGATGCATTTTCGGATTATCAACCCTAAACACGTAACTCGCCAAGTGTTAAGGGTTGATCCGTTCCCAAACCGCACCCGATTCCGATTGGGTTTTAGTTTTTTTACAATTTCGCAGATTGGTTGAGCGCAAGCGGGAATTTTGTTAAGTTTCAAGTTTTTTTGGCGGGAGTTACATGTGTGCCCATTCTCGTGATTTTTTTCCAGTTGTTAGTGACTGAATCCGTAACCCCGCTTACCAAACCCGTCAGAGAACCCGATACAGTGACCGTACGCGTTTTTGTTTTATCATTCACGTTATCGAGTCCCAAGTTAGTTACTTGTGGCATATTTTCCCATCATAATCAGGGTACTTCAAATAGTGTCTATACCAAACCATCAGACAACAATGACCATGGTTTCAAGCAAGGTACCAGTCTAACTTGTGACGAGAAGTGAGAATGGACTATGAAACAGTTGGGTACAAGTACTAACCCTAATTGGGTTGTACCCCTTATAGGCTATCCCACTATAGTCTACACAAATGTATAAGCTATAATGTTCTGACACACCCCCATAGGCAAAGTGGGGAAGACCAAGTGGTCACAAGACCAGTCAAGCAAAGCAAAGCAAGCTCAGGGTGGATCACAAAGTCACCACACAGTCCGAGCACAAGAGTACGGCCACAAGGCCAGTTCACATGCAAGAACATATATATAAAGGTAAACAAGCAAGTGCAGGTATAGAAAGAGTACAGTACAAACAAGATCAAGAAGTGAGCAAGTGAGGCCAGGTAGGCACAAGACCTAGCAAAGTACAGAAGCGCTGATGATCACAAGGCGGAAGGGCCTTGGTGAAGATATCAGCAGTGTTGGCCTCAGAGGCCACGTACGTGAGGCGGAGCTGACCACGCTGCTGCAGCTCACGAGCCAGGAAGTAGCGGAGAGCAATGTGCTTCGTTCTGTGCTCCAGTCTGTGCTCCCGACACAAGGCCAGCATGGCCTTGTTGTCTACGTACAGAACTGGAGGAGAACGAGGCGGCTCTCCTAGTTCAGTCAGCAGGTAGGTGAGCCAGCGTAGCTCCTGTGCAGCCATGGCCCCTGCGTAGATCTCAGCCTCACAGCTGGAGCCAAGAATAGAAGACGAGCGGGTAGACCGCCACGAAACAGAGCCGGAGCCAAGGCTGAAGGTGTAACCCTGTGACGACCGCTGCAGAGCCTGGTCGTCAGCCCAAGAGGCGTCAGCGTGACCTGTGAGGACTACTCGACGTCGCCCTCCAAGCACTAGCCCCATGCCCGACGTACTGCACACGTAGCGCAACAACCTTTTTGCTGCAGCCATGTGCTTTGGTCTGTGTCTCCCAGGAGCAACATAGCGTGCCAAGATGCTAAGAGGGTATGCAAGGTCAGGTCGAGTGCAGGTCATCAGGTACATGAGGCAGCCAACAAGCTCTGCATACGGGCCACTCGACTCTACGGACTCATCCGAAGGCAGAGCTGAGAGCGAGTGGCGAGTAGACAGAGGAGTGGCATGAGGCGAGGAGTACGTGAAGCCGAAGCGCTGAAGGACCTGCTGCACCATGTGTGACTGAGTCAGGGTAATGGTGCGGTGTGCTCTGTCCCGGGTGATCTGCAAGCCAAGGTAGCTGCGCAGTTCACCCAGGTCAGTGCACGTGTGTTTCTTCTGCAGCTCGGACTTCACGTGGGCGAGTCCAGCAGTGTCAGCTGTGGCAAAGACCAAGTCGTCGACGTACACGAGGATGTAGAACGGCGGCAAAGAAGTGTCGATGCGCAGAAACAGCGACGGGTCGGCTGTAGAAGGAGCAAACCCAAGAGCCGCAAGTGTAGTCCTCAGTGTGTCGTGCCACTCACGGGGCGCCTGGCGGAGACCGTAGACTGGCCGCCGGAGGCTCCACTTGGTACCAGGAGGAAACGACCCAGTGAAGCTAGGTGGGCGGCGCATCCAGATCTCCTCGTGCAGGCTGCCATGCAGGAAAGCTGTGCTTAAGTCAAGAGAGTGAAGCTCGTAGTCGGGCTGAGCGGCTATGTGCAGCAGCACCCGAAGAGTAGTCATCTTCGGGGTGGGAGAGAGGGTCTGAAAGTAGTCAACTCCCTGCCGCTGACTGAAGCCTCGAGCCACGTAACGCGCCTTGAAGTAAGGCGGAGAGCCCGGCGGCCGCTTCACCCTGGAAATCCACATCCCACTGACGATGTTCGCCCCAGGTGGGGGAACCTCGTCGACATAGGTGCCTGTGGACTTCCAGGGAGCCATCTCTGCGTCCATGGCCGACTGCCACTGAGAGGAGTAGGGACCCTCGATCGCCTCTGCGTACGATCGAGGAGTCGGGATGTCTGGTGCATCCGGGTCTCCCTCAGGGGCAATCAGCGTGGACACGAGACGGGGCAAAGCAGCAGCAAAGCACTGGAACTCCTCCTGCCTGTCCTCAAGGACGTCCGTGCTAAGAGCACACTCACCCGCGACGGACGGAGGACAGAAAGACTCAGACTCAGCAACGAGACTGGCAGCGTAGTCTAGACGACAGCGAGCAGCGAAGTCGACGAGCTCAGCAACTAGAGCAGATGCAGTAGTGGACTCAAAGGAAGGGTCAGTGACAACAGTAGCAAGAAGGCGCGTCACTAAAGGACTAGCAGCACGAAGGGAGTCAGACTCCGGATCAGCAAGAGAAGGAAGAGAGGACTCTGGAGGAGACGGCAAAGGGACACGCAGAGGAGCAGTGGAAGGACGGAGTGCCATCTGGTGTGTGCCGAGGACCGAAGGAGGACGCGGACGCGTAGCACGACGACTAGTGCGAGTAGCACGAACAGGCGGCGCAGGACGAGACGCAGGCTCACGACGCTCAACAAGACCTCCAGTAGGACCAGTGTAGGGAGAAGGAGCAGGTAGCGGGGAGGCAGGCTGTAACTGTGACTGCGACTGGACTGGCTGCAAACACTCTAAGGGAGGAGCAGGACCAGGAGAGGGCGGGAGACCAAGAACCTGCTCCAGGAGCGGAACGAAGTACAGCCTCGGCCGCTCAGCGCCTCCAGAACCAGCAAGGACGGCACCACTACCCCCAGCGGCAGCACCAGCGCCAGCAGAACCTCCAGCTCCAACAGCTCCAACTCCAGTACCCTTAGAAGCACCAGCGCCAGCAACACCGCCAGCACCAA